GATAGATAGATAGATAGATAGATAGATAGATAGATAGATAGAGATAGGTAAACACACACACACACTATTGTTAGGTGCTGTTGAATCTAATTCAACTCGTAGTCATCCTGCAAACAACAGATCTGAACCCTGCCCTATCCTGTGCCATTCTCATCATCTCTGACACACTTGTTGCAGTCATCATGTCAGTCTACCTGATTGAGACTCCTCCTCTCCTTCACTGACCCTCCGTCTGTCTAAGCATAATGTCCCTCTCCAAGGAAGCCTCCCTTGTGTGTGTATGTGTATATGTATATGTATATATTACCAAAACTCGTTTTCCTCAAGTCCATTTGGATTTGTAGCCCCCCTGTAGGACAGAGTAGAGCTGACCCACGGGGTCTGTAAGACTGTAAATCTTTATGCAAGCAGACTGCCACGTCTTACTCCTGCCGAGTGGTTGATGAGTTCAAACCACCAGCCTTCCCTTGATTAGCATCCAGATGCTTTAACCTCTGTCCCACCAGGACCCCTCACGTGTGTGTGTGTGTGTGTGTGTGTGTGTGTGTGTGTGTACTTGCATATGATTTTATGCTTGTTTTGTTGGAGAGAAATTCCACAGTGTTAGAGAACCTAATGGCTACACGAGCCAGTTTTGGGGACAGGAAATAGAAACATAAAAAGGAAGAGGAGCTGGGGTGGAGGTGGGGTGGGCGGGGAGAAGGGTGCAACGATGAATGAATGGAATTCCAAAATCTCTGCAGATTTTCATAGAAATGAAGAATGAATTAATTAATTAATCAACTAATTAATTAATTAGGAAGAGCAGCAAAGAAGATACATTTTTACAATCTACTGGTGCCTCCTCAGAGGCCTTCATACTTGCGAGCAGCGGGGGAGTGATGCTTTGGTTGGGAGTGAAGGATTCGATGAAGCTTTGTCTGTAATGGACAGTGTACTGGCTTTGGCCCTAACTGTCGTCCCCACATCTCTCAGGCCACTGTGTGGGTTTTCAGTTGACCATGTGCCAGTCTCTGAGACAGACACAGAGGAGAACTGGATCAATACAACCCTAGCCGTTAATGGAGCATAATGTTAGCAGGGAAATGAAGGTTGGACATGTAATAATATTGATTCTTGACAATCAAGGTGAGCATTAGAATGAGAAAGTATGGTGAACTTGAAGAGTGTAGGTAATTGGTGAGCTCGGGTGGCCTAGTGACAAGAAGCTGCACTGCAATCCCAGAGGTGCAGAAGAAGGAGGGGCAATCTCTTCCTGTACCAATCAGATCCAATTTGACAGTACACACACACACAAAATAAAATAAATTTTTTTTAAAAAGTGTGGGTAACCTTGTTGTCAAACAGTGCCAGTTCACCAGTTCATGAACACTCTGGTTCATGAACCATGTGTTTCAGTAAGCACGTAGGTCGTGCCTTCCAAATTCACACAATTCACTGACTTGATCTTCAGGGCCCCAGATAGTGTTCGGCCCCACAAGCCTGGGCAAAATGGAAAGCCACAGATGTTGCACGAAGGTGGAAGCCAGGAAAAAAGAGAGCTAAGAAAGACAGGTTTTGGTGGTTTTAAAGTAATGGAGGGAAAGAATGGAGGACACGGTAACAAAGCATGGAGTTAAGAAGCTTCAGAAGTCAGCTCTCCTTCTCCACAAAGATCAACTCCAACCGCTCTAGTGCTTCTCATCAGGGAGAGGGCCGCTGCAGGAGCCAAGAAGGCACCTCCCTAGAAAGAACAGGCTCCTGTCCAGAAAGAAAAAGCCATTGGCCAGAAGACGAGACCTCATAACCTCAGAAGGGTCAGAAGGCCCCCACCCACAAAGCACCTGCTCACAAGACAGCAGGCGAGTAAGTGCCAGAGCCTGTTGTAAAAGTCATAAAGTTTGTTTCTGACACACTGAGGGGGGAAGTTTCCAGCAGAGCCTGAGCCTGCCAAAGGACTCAGTGTTTATTTGCACATTGAAGGAGGAGAGGACATGAGTGAGGTGAAGCAGAGGGTGGGGACATTTGAGGATTAGCTGGTGGGAGGTGTCCCATGGTGAGAAGTTAGAGTCCCATAGTGAGAAGTTAGAGTCCCATGGTGAGAAGTTAGAGTCCCATGGTGAGAAAGTTAGAGTCCCATGGTGAGAAGTTAGAGAGCCAGCCGGAGACATGGCTCCCTGGAGATGCGAAGAAGACTGCATCGGCTCTCCCCGTCTGTCTGATATGCCACATGATGGGTTCAAGCCACGACCTTGTCTTCAGATGTCCCTCCCCGTACCCTTCATCCCCTCTCTAAGGTCTACTGTGAGCCATGAAAGGCTGTGACATGCATGGGGGAGAAACTATATAACCCACGAACAGAGCTGGGTTTTGTGGGACCTGAAACATACACAATTTGGAAGGAGAACTCTTTTAATGAAAAAAAAAAGTATATTTATAAATATTAATGCAAAGTAAGGTATCTGGATTGGGGCCAGTTCAGTAAGGGCCCCTCAAGCTTGAGTTTTATTAGCTTTGTGATAAAGCTCCTTTGGTTTTAGTTACTTCCTTTCTAAATCTTCCTGTTGTCTTCCTTTCATCTCTTCTGAGACAATCATGCTGTCCTTATGTCCCTTCCTCCTATTTCCCTCTCCTGAGGGGCCTCCTTGAACCCTCTCTGTGTGAGAGGAACAGATCACCTGGTACTGTATTCTGTGGAGAGATGGCATGTACAACAAAAATGTCTTATGTTGGAATTCACCTTGGTGGCGTCGCAAATAATATATCAGACAGCTAACCAAATGGTGAACAGATTGAGTTCTCCAGGTGTCTGTGAGAGAAAGATGGGTGATCTACCAAAGACTTCCAGCCTCAGAAACAGTGCTGGACAGTCACCACGAGCCTGAAACTGGCTCCGGCCCGTGGGTTTGCTTGTTTTGATTTTGTGCCCAGGAGTGTCCAAACGAACATGCCAGTTACTTCTTTTGCCCAAGACCTCCTTGAGTTTTTTCTTTTTTTGCTCACAATCAAGAGAAGGAATGTTGGCTGGCAGAGTTTATGCTGTTGAAAAGGTGGCAGAGGAGTATGAGTTTCCATGGGCAGAATGATTCTGTCTGGTTGGGTCTAGACAGTTTGTTGAGTGTGTTGACTCGGAGGGGCCTCCTGGAATTATCTCTGTGGGAGGGGAGGAGATCACCTGGTCCTGTATTCTGTGAAGAGAAGACAAAAATTACCAACATGAGCACTAACGTAAGGGTGTTTAGCAGTGGAATAAATAATCATTTGTAAATGCCAAAAGACTTTTCTCTCCAAATCCCCTGGAAATTATCAGAGTTGGGGGCGATGCCAGAGTGTCTATCAGTTCAGAGCACAGAGAAAGAAGCCTGCCATCCACAGAGAGCATCAACCAACAGTAGAGAAGTTGAGTTAGACAAGACTGAGGGAAGGACTTAGCACCTCCTGTACCGTAGAAGGAAGCCATTACTCTGCCCCAAATAGTGCTTCTGATTCCCAGGCTGGCCGCCAGATAGTCCCGAACTCTGGCCATTCCCTCAACCCTCTGGAAAATTTTTGGGCTGGACACAGGCCCCAATGTAGAGTGAGACCTTGGCTGGTGAGGGGGGCAAAATCTCTTAAACTCTATCATCACATCCCTCATTGAACAGCCTACCTGCCACATACTTTTCCTTTTGAAACAAAAAATTAGACTCTGATCCCATTGTGAATGTGGAACCAATCTTTGGTGTAGATTTCTCATCTTTTCCGGGAGAGTGAATAGAGAAAAATGACCAAACGCTAAGAATTTTCCATTCAACTGTATTAGCGTTCATCCATATCCAAGCCCATTTAGATGTAGTAGAAAGATAACTCCTGTGTCTCCTTCTTGAAAAAGTTCTGGTGGCCTAGTGGGTAAGAAGTTGTACTCCCAACCAAAGGCGTACGATTTGAATCCACCAGCTGCTCCCTGGGAGAAAGATGGACAGTTTCCTCTGTGTGATTTACAACCTCTGAAAAACTCCTGGAGGGTCAGTTTTGAGTCAGTTCCAAATTGACAGCAGCCAACAACAACTATGAACCCTTCCTTAAAAAAAACAACCAAAAACTACATGAAAGAAAGAGCATGTCATTGGACGAAGACATGAACCAAAATAATGAATTCTGTTGATTCTGACTAAGAAGGAGCCCATGTGGGCATAGGACTACCCGCATTGGGGTTGCAAGACTATAATCTTACAGAAGCAGGTTGCTAAATCTTTTATTCATGGAGCCACTGAGTTGTATTCAAACTGCCAACCTTTTGGTTAGCAGCTAATCACTTAACCATTCAACCACCAGCGTTCTTTAAAGTAAAAAAAAAAAAAATAAAACAAAAAAAAACCAAAACAAAACACCCCACAAACCACAAAACAGAAACACTTGTGACCTTAAGGGTGCCATTGGTTTAGGTTTCCTGGGAACCCCAGGACCACTCACTGTTCTGGGGGGGCTGAGTTCTCTTAGGTGGGTGTGGAGGGCTTAAAGGACACAGGAGAAGGAGTCTGTGATTTGCTGGAAGCTAAATTGGCTGTTGTTTATGCGTTTGTCCTTAGAACTCTGTACCAATCTCCCCGTGTCTCTCTCTCACAGACCGTCTTTGAAAGGAATTGTCGTTCAGAGGACTGTGCCGCCGACCTGCAGCTCCGGGGTAAACTGTTGCTCGCCAGGTACGTCCGTTATGTCACAACCTTGTTCTCAAAAGCTGGGTTTTCTTGACTCCAAGCCCACAACGTGATGTGGAGTGGGTGAGTCATTTCTGGAGGTTTAAAGGATGTGTGTTGTAAAACAATTTGAGCAGTAACAAATGGATGCTGCTTTGGGACGTGCATCAGAATATTAGTGGTGTTGCTCAGTTACTGTGTGCGAGGGGTTTTGCTGTATTTGCAAATTCCTCTTTAATGTGCTTTATGCATAAAAAGGTTCAGTTTGATGGGGAGGGGGTTGAGGGGGTTGAAGCTAAAGGTGAATTGAAAGAATTTGTTCTAATTTGTATTAGAATTTTGTAAATAAACTAATGAAAAGGGAAAAAAACACAGAAAAAAATAGACTCAAACATAATGACAAAAAGAAAAGGTATGCCACCTACTATATTGGAAAGCAAACATTGTTTTTGTTTTTGTTTTAACCTCTTCTGGAGAATTTTTTTTTACATGTATTTTGTTTTTATCAAACTTTTTTCCTTTTTTTAACTTTTTTCTATTAATTTTAATGAACGCTACAGAGACTTTGGATTTCCATTCATTCATTATTGCTTTTTTCTCCCTGCACCACCCCTCCTGCCCAATTTGCTCTTCTCTTTGAAAAGTAAAAGAAAATTTCTTCCATTGTTATACAGTCCCTCCCCTCGAGTGCACTCCGCTATGCAGCCTTAATTCTGGACACATGTCACGATAAAAATACCTAATATTTGACTGCCTTTAGGTATAAACCTAAAGTCAATTTTACGTAAGTAAAATTTGACTTCAAGATTGACTTGGGGATGGAACTTGCATAGAACTTCAGACTACCTATATTTCTAATTTCTCAGTGGTTGGGAGCAGAGTATTTTATCTTTGCACATTCTATTAAGTTGAGTCATAGGAAATTGCTCCGATTTGACAGTTTGGGGCAATTTTTTATTGTCCAACCTATGATTATATAAAGGTTTCTTTCTTTCTTTTTTAATCCACAATCAACAATGGCATCTGCTTTAACAAAAAAGTAATGTTCCTTAGGCAGGGGGGGCGGGGGGCGGGGAAGAAAGAAGGGCGGGCAGCAACCATGCTGGTGAACAATCGGAGAGGAGCCTCTTTATTATTCCAGGGTTTCCTCCTACAGTTTGTGAATCCCCTGAAGCTAAAGGTGAAGGTACAAGACCTCCTGTTTCCGCTCTGCCTGTCTTTTATTTCAGATTTCTTTTAGGATAAAGGTGCTGGATGTGGATCATTTAACTACTTTTCAGAGGATGGCTTCCTTTCGAAGCAATTCCTTCTGAAAGATTTATGTAACCTGGGGCCTTGAAAGCCTATCTGTGAGATTTCTTATAATTTCTCAAAACCAGTCACTGAGCTCTGATTACACATAGTTTGAAAGAAAAATCCCATTATAAACCAGTGATTACACTAGGACCCTGTACTTAGGTTGATAAATAATTTTTATCCATCAAAGGAAAATGATGCTAACATTTTAATTTCCGTTTATTGAAGAGAGACCCTTTCTGTCCCCGCCTCCCTCCCTCCCTCCCTTCTCTCTCTCTCTCTTCCCCCCACACACACTACTCTTCCTCCAAACCCTTAAGTATTAATAAGTATCACTTTTATTCAGAACCAGAGTGGTAGATGAAAGAAGCATATGCTTTGCCAGCCTTCATACATTACTTAAAACTCGTGGAGTGGATGTTGGGATTGTTTAACCTTACTGAATATGGTCTTCTGAGAGTATTGGGGAAACCAATTCTTTAAAAGGTTCATGAATTATTATCCCATTAACATCTATTTCAAATGGATCTTCCAAGAAATGTTTTAGGGACAAAGTAACATGAAGCAAAAAGAAATGGATTTGTTTTCTCTTGAGGGCGACGCTAACTGTTGGAAATTTGTTTTGGATCATAGACACTCATGAGGTTGGGAAATGCACACTTGATCCGTGGTTAAATGTTAGGTTAGGAACGCCCTCATCTTGCCCCTCTTTAGTGAACGGTCAGATATAGCTCTGATGAATTGTGCTTTCCTATGTTCAGATGTAAAATTTGACAGTCAGGGCTAATAAGGCACCTTATGGCTAAAGCTGCTTTCACTTCCTGAAACTGGACTTCTGAGAGAACTAGCAGCATCAATTCTTCTCTGCGGGGCCAGGAACAATAATCCTAAAACACCTAGTGTGGTGGCCAGAACCTGGAATTTAGTGGTCTCCATGGGTATCAGCGTGCTGTTGCCACCAAAATGTCACATAACAGCCACCCGACACTCAGTGGCTTGGACTGTTGTTAAGTGCTGTTGAGTCAACTGTGACTCATAGCAACTCTATGAACGTCCTGAGCCAACCTCCCTGACCGTGTTGTTCTGATCCCTGTCTCAGTCCGTGTCGTGGAAGCTCTTCCTCTGATGCACTGACTCTCCCAAGAATGCTGACCTTCCCTTGTCCTTTCCTCCTTGCAGAAGGCTTAACCTACACTCAGTCAGGCTCGTGGATCTGCAGGTGAGTTGAGCATCATCTGATCCAGGCTGGATTTAGTTGGCTCGTGATCGACTTGATCACGTGGCTGAGGGAATATTAGTCTAGGCTGGGCTTCGGGGACTCACTTGAGCTCTAACCCATTGCGTTTCATCGTCTGCCTGCGACTCATGGTAAAGGGCTATTGCTGATAGGTGCAACTGAAGTCATGTGACCCTGTGCAGGTGAAATGCAACAGAGCCCTGCCCTGCCCTGAGCTCACAGTCACTGCTGTATGGAAAGCCCCTTGTGCAGACACCAGGTCAGCCCGTCGCCTGGGGGACATTCCTCTTTTTCATGTAACCTGGTCATGCTTGTATCAGGGCATGGCAGAGATGCAAAAAGACAAATGGAAACATACAATAACTCTTCTTTCTTTTTTATGTATTTGTTTTTATTATTATACTAGCTTATTTGCAACATTAGAATACATTGTTTTCCAGAACAGATTCTTCTAATTTCCCTCAAGACCTCACCCATCAAACTGTACAACCCCATGATTAATCCCCCCCACAGCCCCAGGACATCCTCATCCCTCTGGTTCCACTCCCCCCATCCCCCATTGGATCCTTATACTCATTCTACAGTAAAGGTTTTATGTAATATTTGTCCTTGTAGGACAGAGTTCACTCAGCATAATGCTCTCCAGTCCCTCCCAAGTTTGGTAATAATTTATAAAATTATTTTTATAGTAATATACACACCGGTGTGATGTGTAGTAGTCTGTTGTGTGAATGTACCATAATTCTCAATCCATTCATTTGTGGTTGGACATCTGCGCTGTTTCCATGCTCTTGCGATGGTGAATAACACTAATGTGAACACTGGTGTACAAGTCTCTGTGCCTTAGTTCTCATTTTCTCTGGGTGTATTCCAAGTAGTGGAATATCTGGGACATATGGAATTTTATGTTCAGCTTTTTGAGGAGGCACCAAACTGCCTTCTAAAATGATTGTACCATTTTAAAATCCCAACAACAACATACAGTAACTCTTAAGGCACAGACTTAAACCTCACGTAGCCAAATCCCGAATCAAGGGACAAAATAATAGTCATGCACACACACACACACGTACATACGTGATGTCTTGCTTACAAAAGTTGTATACATAGTGTTTCACACTTTTCTTCTTTCACATTTTGTTTCACACAATCATTCCCATGCATTGTTGTTATTATCTTCCATTGAGTTGCTTGTGACTCACAGCGACCCTATGTACAACAGCCCTAAACCCTGCTCTACCCTGTGCTGTCTCTGACACACCTACCTCCATTACTCCAATCACTGAATCAATCCACCTCATCAAGGGTCTTCCTCTCCTGCGCTGTCCCTCCACCCTCCCAAGCATGACGTCCCTCTCCAAGGAATGAACACTCTTTGCAACATGTCCAAGGTATGTCAGATGGAGCTTCAGAATCTTTGCCTCCAAGGAACAGCTTGGCTTCACCCTCTCCAGGACAAACCTGTTTCATTCAATACTCTTCTGCAGCACCACAGCTCAAAGACGTTATTAGTTCTCCTTCTTTTCAATCCCATGCATTATGTTTTATAAAAGTAATCATCATTGGACCTTGCCCACCATTGATCCTTCCTATTTCCTTCACCCCCTCCCTCCATCCACCAAATTGTTCTTGACCCCTGTAGTGAGGGAACTTCAAAGTCACCTTGCTAAGGGCATGTGTATATGGGATACTTGAGACCAGTAAGGCAGTGTGCCACGTGAAGAACAGGACCACATCGTCCCTCATCCTGATGTTTTATCCTTTTTAGAGCTAAGTCTTTCTTGCAATTCTGTCTTCTTAGTACTTGGATGTGAGACCTCAGTATTAAGAGGTTTTCTGACTCTCAGGAACAGTGTCCTTGGGCTGACCTCTGAGCCTTGCTCAGGATGCATTTTATCCCAGGAAGTCTTAGTAAGTTCTCAAAATAGCCTTCTGGCTGGCTCCTTCATGAAACAAGCCTTTGCTATGCGCTTGGGGCCATGGCTATACTCAAAAGGGGCCATCAGAAAACATTCACTGGTGATTGGATAAGCAGGGGATTCAAAACCAAAACGATGAATGTAGTTACGTTGACTCTTTTCCAGATGTTTGAATGTTCACTATGCAGAGACGGGCACAATGGGAGAGAAGGATCAGTCAATAAACTATGAATGGAAACCACAGGCTGTCTTTGATTTAGTAGTTTGAGCCAGTGGTGAGCTGCCTTATTTACCATTGCTTGGTTTTTTATGCCATTGAGTCTGAACAGAATGACAGCTAGCTGATCCTCCAGTGGGTTTACAGAGGCAATAAATAACACAAGAGTTGATCGCCCAACTTTCATCTGTGGAGAAGCTGGTAGATTCAAACCATGTGCCTTTGCATTGACAGTGTAGATTATTATTATTATTATTAATTTTAATGAAAGTTTACAGAGACTTTGGATTTCCATTGTTGCACTTTTCTCCCTGCTCAACATCCCCCCACCCCCCAG